TTTAGTAGGTCACAATATAAGAAATACACGAATGGTACAAACCGACAGCCAAACCGAATCATAAAAGAATAGTGAAATGAGTTATGATCCATGCAGCCAGGGAGGAGGAAGGAACAAGAATCTTAACTATATATTGCGATTAAAGTTAAAAAAGATAAATTCTGGGACTCCATATCCAAACTAGTTGAGGTAAGAAGTGGCTCATCATCTGATTTAGAACAACTTCAGAGAGAACACGAAATTTTAGAAACAGTGATTTGGGAAGCAGAGGACACGCAGCTTGTACCAGGACTCCAGCAATGCTTTGGAGAAAGTAGGAATGGTCTGAGCAGGAAGTGAAGGCTTGGAGTAAGTGTGCTTGCTAAGGTGAGTAAGGTAACTGAGGCCCTCTGAGTGGTCAAGGGCCTTTAACCTCTTCTACCTACTAGAATAATTACTAAAACCCCAAATTCTTTAAATGCAGTGCTGAAACTAAAGTGTATGGCGATTTGATTACAGAGTTCTCCACAGATGTACGTCAAATTGACAACGGGATGGTGGTCTTGTGCTAAATCTACATCACCCTATATACTACACGAAGCCAAACTAAGTCATCTTTCTCGGCTATGGTTCCTTTTAAACTTAAACTCAACCCACTGATATGTTTTCTTCCACCATTTCACTGAGCTTCTTGGCATACTGGCAGCTTCGGTGACCATAATGGGATAAACTGTGATGGCAGAATTCAATCTGCATTTAATAAAAAGCCAGATTGTTGGACTTCGCAAATACAGTTGGGCATAAAAATTCGCAATTCAGTTAGATCCTCTGCTTTGCTAAGTAATTTTTTACTATTTTGTTTATAGTTTAGTTATCCTTGATGTCGAACAGAAAAAAATGAAAGTATTAACCACTGGAACCAATCACTAACTCACACGGCAGCCCGATTTGATAGCTTCGGCACCGCATCTACTGGCCTCCCCATGAAGGAGCTGAGCGTCTCCCCCAACAGCCTGCCTTAACTTCTCGTTCCAAAGACACATGCCACTCTGCCCAGCAAAAGGGATAAATCAGCTTAGGCCCTTGAGTCATGACTAAGTTTTTTAAATGTTGCAGCAACTTTGGATCTTAAGACTCAATAAATCCAGTGGTTGACTCAGCCTCAAAGAACCAGAATGTGTGTGAGTCAGAGAGTGCAAGTCTTACTACTGGAGAAGCATGCCTGACTTCACCACAGAACAGGCAGCCAGCCGAGCGCCTCGCAACACGGTCGGTCAGAGAGTCCACAGTGGCACAGGAAACTGTCCAGCGAGGTCAAGCCCTCTCGAGAACAGGGGCTAGCAGTCTTTCATTTACTCTTACAGGAATGCAGGTCAGACACATCTGCAGGGGGCATACTGAAATCCGGTACAGATTCCTTTTTCGTTTCCATTGTGGAAGGTACGCTTGCCTACACAAAACTGATGTGAGGCTAGCAGTGCTGGCTTCTTCTTAAGTGTTACAAAACAATTTAGTGACAATTGTCATTCCCTTCCTGAACTATCAAGCTAACTTGCACATTCCCTTAGAGCACTATCTGTAAAAATGTGTCCCCTGGTCTGTCTCCCTCAAGACTGTCTCTTATATTTCAAGCAGTCCCTAGCAAAAAAAAAAAACAAAACTAAAACTAAAAAATACTTTTCTACCAGTGTAACGAATGAGATTGTCTTGCTCGTTCTTGCCACATATTTTGGCCCCTGTTAAGCCAGTAGTTTGGGTATTGCCCCAACTAATGAAAATTTGGGACATTTTCATATGAACTGGAAAATCCTCTATGGATGGTCAAGATTTTTGTCTTCAAAATAGTTTCATTATTTAGGAGGAAATGGCTAATGTAAATCCAACAGAGAAATGCTTACTGGTTTGAAGGGCAGTAAAAACATCCATACTCGATTCATTAAAAAGAAGTGGTGGTGAATTACTGAAAAAAAAACATTTTTGTTTTTCTTAAGTAAATTTCCACATTAGTACATTTTGTTTTTCCTGTCCTAAAAAAAAAAAAAAATTACTGTGCAAAAGAAGAAAAACAAATTAAGTCAAAGATTAGGACAAAAATGAGCCCCATATGCCTTAACAAGGTAACCCTAACTCTTGAATGGCCAGCAAAGGTTTCCAAGTCATCCTCACAGAATATTATCAGACCAGATGCTATGTTTCTAGCACTAGGGGATGCTAATAATCCAATCGTAAAAGCAGACACTAAATGGTGTCTATTATGTGGCCAGAACTTTTCCAAATGCAATTTCATTTAATCCTTATAATGAATCTAATGAATAAGTGCAATCATTCTCCTCATGGTACAGATGAAAAAACTAAGGCACATTGAGACTGAATAAACTGTAAAAAGTTAAGCAGCTGGTGAGTGGCAGACCCCTGACTCAAACCCAGGCCCTCTGCCTGCACAGTCTCTCTGACATGCTGTGCTCTGCTGCCTCTCCTACAGAGTCCTCTACGTACACCAGATGACAAGCAGGGAGTCCACATGCACATATTTAAAATAAGCCATCAGAAAAGCTACTTTTATTATGAAATAAAATCCAGGCCTACCTAAAGAGGAAACATACTCCAAATAAATTAAAGCGAACCTATGTTTTCAAGATGGTAAACTTACTGAGCAGATGAACCTCCTTTCATTCCTCAAACCCCTGATATGATAGAAAATTCTAAAGAAAAATAAACCATAATGGTGTAAGACAACAGGCAAAAGTAATTATCAGATGGAAATGACTCAATGGGGAAAACAGAGCTGAATAATCACAACTAAAAACAGGAATAAAAGAGGCCTGGTACAGAGATGAGAACTATTCTTCTCGATGAAACAAAGTGCAGCAGAAATGCAAATCTCTGAAAAAGTATGCAGACTAGGTTTCTGAGGTTATCACCAGGGTGACTTATTAGGTGATGCTTACAGCACTTGTCCCTAAGACCAGCTCTCTCTCAACAGGGTAGGTTATTATCCCCAAGCACAGGCCTTGTGGCAGAGTGAAGTCTATGTCTGGGCCTTCCTAAGAAACACAGAGGAAAAGAGAAACAATAAAGGCACCTCTACCTACGATTGCAATACCCTATAGTGCTCCAAAGTGCTGCATGCCAATAGGGAAACCTTCTTTGTGGCAACCGTGGGGACTCCAGCTTGCTCCTCACCCTACAGACTCAGCTGCATGCTTGCGAGCATGCCCAGCCCTGCACGGCCCTGGAGGGAGCCCATGCAATTAGGCCTACGGCTGAAACAGAATTCCAAAACTTTTGAGGAAATCTAGTGTAATTAACCTAATTCTATATTTATAAATATGTTTGAATCACCAAGGATCAAAACAACATAAAACTAAGAACTAAGATGAAAGAAAACAAATCAGTTAACAGAAAAATCTGACGTTGAATTTATAACAAATGCTTAATTATCTAAACCAACGGAGGGTCTGAGGCATAAGAACCCGGAAAACTATGGCGCTGAAATGTTCAGATTTCTATTACAGCAGATTTACCACCCCAAGAAAACTCTGCACAGACTGATATTACAATGAAGTTTTATTCTCCAAGGAAAAATGCACTGAGACCAAAAATCCGACCCTAGCTCTAAGTCTAAATTATGTAGCCTTGCTTGGGCAAATAACTTCTTTTCTGTCTTTATTTTCCTACATAATAAAAGGAGATAATTATTTTTTATCCCATCTGCCTCAAAGAGATGGTTTAACAATCAAAAGGGAAAAAGTACATTGAAAAAATTTTTTTTAAAAAGTAAAAGGCACCAAATGAAAGGTGATGCTGGTAACCGAAAACAGACTGCATACTAGGGAGTAGGTGGGGTCCAGCCCTGGCTGAAGAGTTTGCTGTGGACGGTCCACATAGAGACAGTCAAGGTGGACATCCCACTGTAATATCTATTTCGTAAGACAAGCTGATTTACAGCCAATAGTTCCTGACTACTTTTGATACTTAGAATGATGCCATATTAGCCTCTTCAGAAGTAATTAAGAAAAAGGCCTCTGCTTCTGTCTATTGATTCAAAAGAATGCACTCTGAATTCTGCAGTCTGGAGTGAGACTCACTGGATATGCATCGCCTAGAGTCGAACTGTTACACACAGAGAACCAAGGGAATAATGCCAGCAATTTAGTCATCTGAGGGCACCGCTCACCAAGAGATGACGTCATACACAGCTTGAAACAGTCAGACTTCTGTAAGTCTGAAGACACAGAAGTCAGAATAAGACATGGAAGTCTGAATAAGACAGAGGTGCTTGGCAATCAGGTATAAGTACTTACTAAACGTATATTTATTAAATAACCACTGCGTTCCAAATGTTGGACCAAGCAACTTGCTCTACTAACAACTCCAGAACATACTCGAAAGAGACAAAAACTGGTTAAACAATTTACAATCACTAGACAACAGTGGTGGTAAGTCGTCACTGACAAACTAGAATGACAATATATCAAGTACCTTAAAATGATATGCACATAAATCGCATGATAAAAGACAAAAAGAAAAGCTCCACGGTGCTCTTCAAGATAAGGTTTTAATAGGGTTCTTCAAAAATGTTATAAAATCCTTCGTTAAAATTTGCTTTCTATTAAGAGAAAAAAGATATAGTAACCAAATATCTGGACCTCGCTTGGATCCAAATAAATCAATCATGAAAATTAAATTTATGAAACAATTGGGAAAATATAAATGCTGGCTAGATAGTTGATAACTAGATAGGATAATGGTGTTGGGTTATTTTTTTAAAAACCAAAATGGTAGTCTTTATCTTTTAGAAATACATACCAAAATGGTTGTTGATGAAATATGATGTCTAAGAATTACAGTAAAATAATATGGGGGAGTGGGCTGGAGTTTAGATGAAAGGAGCCTGGCCATGTGCTGATAATTAATGAAGGTGGCAGCTGGATTCACAAGGGTAATTACACTATTTTCTCTACTTTTATATACAGTTGAAATTTTCATAATTATACAAATCAAAGGTGACTCATTCTTACCTCTGCTAGGATCTTTCACCACAACATCAGAGATTTCAAACAGTTTCAGAGGAAGGGGCATCTTCCGATTTGCTGCTATGGTCTTTAGGAGGCCTGGAAGAAGGGTAGTGCGTGCCACCTACAGGAGAAGACATGAAACTGCACTGACCAAAGGAGAACCAGACAGACATGCGGCAGTGCCCCAGCACCTGTGGAGGATAAGTTTCAAGATCCCCAATGGATGCCTAAAACTGTGGATAGTACCAACCCCTATGTATGCTATGTTTGTTCCATACAGACATACATATGATAAAGTTTACGGCTTCTCTTCTGCACATCTGAACTGCCAGCATCACTACTCTTGCACTCGGGAGCCATTACTAAGTAAAATAAGGGTTACTGGAACACAAGCACTGGCGTACCGCGCAGTCAGTCAGTAGGCTACTAAGTGACTAACAGGCAGGTGGCATATACAGCGTGGATACACTGGACAAAGAGACAATTCACGTCCTGGGCGGAACGGAGTAGGATGGCATGAGATTTCATCATTCTACTCAGAACAGCATGTAACTTAAAACTGAAAAACATTTACTTCTGGAATTTTACATTTGATACTGTCGGACCAGGTTGACCGCAGGCAATTAAAACCACTGGAAGTGAAACCGTGGATAAGGGGGAACTACCAAATTGATTAAAAACAAAGCCAAAAGACACCATGGCTTCATAGGAACACACTTCTGGAAAATGCGATGCCTAAATATCTAAGTCATGTTTAATTTTCAATCCCAAGACATTAGAAAAATATATATTCTAGCTTTTAAACTTACAAAATAAAAAATCATAAATTTGATGAAAAAATAAGTGAGGAACAAATATTATAACAAACATAATTGCTTGTATCTAGGATTGGTTATTATCATTTTTAAAATTAAAGTTAGCTTTCAAGATTTCAAATACGTAAATTTTCATATCCTGCCTTATTTAATAAAGTAATTGAAGTAGATTACAAGAAATATGAATGCTTGAATAGATTAAATATGAATTAATCAAAATTTTAAAAACTACCGGGAAAAGGTAAATGCAATTAAAACACCAGGACAATGAAGAAACCAGAACACAAATATCTAGGCACTAAAAATACTATGCTATGGGTAAACTATGATTATAGTTTTCAGCTTGGTAGCCAAAGAAGTATAAATATACATCCTAGTTCTTAAAAACGGGAAAAGAGCAAAATTTCCCTGCTTTTGTCTGTGAAATAAATTCCTCATTCTTGGATACATGAGGTATGGAAGCTGTCAACACATCACGTAGCCGGAAGGATTTTATGAGCAGTGGTGTGACGTCATCGCCGAGAGTCTGGGCTTTACGGTCAGATTTAACACCACTGTATTTTGCCCAGACTATCGCTCGAGCTTCTTAAGTTTCTTTCTCAGCTTCTACTCCCGCCATTTGATGGTCTATTCTCCACACGGAGTGATCCTTTAAAACCTAAATCAGATCATGGAACCCCTCTGCTCAAAATCTCCGACCGGTTTCCATCACACTTAAAATCCATTCCCTACTTGGGTCCGTGGCCGTGGCCCTGGCCCCTTTCTGACCTCCACGCCCGCGGCTGCCCCGGCCGCGCACCCATGCACCATGAGCAGGTTTCCACCTCAGGCCTCCACACTTGCTCTTTCCTCTGCCTGGTATATTCTTCCTCTAGATACACATGTGGCTATGTACATTTCTTTGAGTCTCTGCTCAAAGGTTCTCTCCCAAGGAGGCCTGCCCTGCCCACCCTGGCTAAAACAACAGGCCCTCCTAGATCCGACACAAGTAAGAACAAGCTCCCAAATGCACGTGCTAGACTGTGGGTTGAGGGAAACAGAGAACAACTTTCCTATCACATTCACGCTATCAGCAAGCTGTTGGCCTTCGACTCACTGCAATTCCGCTCACTTTCCCCACTGGAGAGAAAAGTGCCCAAACCATTCACAGAAACGAAACTACAATGTTAAAAAGCAAAAGCTTATTTTATTGGAATAGAAACAAGCTACTTTTATAGATAATGTTGCTTAGTTTTTTTTAGTTTATTTTATAGATAAGCTTTATTTGTTTATTTAAAAACCCACGGCATTACAAAAAAAAAAATTAAATCTGAATCTGATCAAGCTTCTAAATCTAACTACCAATTTATTGAAAATATAGGGGACCACTGGAATGCAGTCAGCAAAATCCTAAATGTTAAGACTCTCCAGGGACAAATGACCCAGTCTCTTTAATGAAGTAAAAGGGAGGGAGATGGGAAGGGAGAGAGAGGGGAAGGAGGGGAGAGAGAGAGGGGAAGAAGGGGAGGGGAGAGGGAGAGGGGAAGAAGGGGAGGGGAGAGGGAGAAGGGCGAGAGAGAGAGGAGGTGGGGGGGAGGGGAGGGAGAGGAGGAAGAGGGGAGGAGGGAGAGAGATATGGATGGCACTCGTAGATTGCAAAAGTCTTAAGATGCACATCAATCAACTGTGATGTCCAACCTCATTTAAATCTCAAATCGAATAAACTATATTGTAAAAAGGAGAACTGGGAAAATTTGAACAGTGACTGGATATTTGAGGGTATTAAGGAATACTATTGCTAATTTGGGGGGAAGTGGAAATATTCTGTAATTTTGTTTATAACAATTATAATAAAATCTTATATTAGCTAAATAACATTTTAGTTAAATAACATTTCTCTTATTTTATCCATTTATATAATCTACTACTAACAATAATATATCTACTATCAGAAAATGCCCAAAGTCAATTCTGCAGGAGAAAGAATGGCTTAGACAACAGAGTTACACGATCACGAGCAACTTTACATTAAACTTAACCATAAATATAAACCTGTTAGCCACATTAGCAATGGTAGGACATATCCGTTGGTAAAGCAGGAATAAAATACAGAATCTGTCAAGTCTAAAAGACAGACTCACTTTCATCTCTAACATATTTTATGCAGAAATATTGATTCTTAAGTGTGCTAAGCCACATCTATTTACAGTGACATTTAATGTGTTTCTGATTTATTGTCCTCCTCCTTATACACAGCCGATTAAGACAGGATGTAAACCCTAAAGAACATAGCATTACCACATCTTAAGAAATCAAGCTTGATAAATGAAACTGGGAGAAAAGGAAAATTTGGAATAAACTCGCATAAAAATCCATTACAATTTACTGAAAACTGGCTCTATCCAAATGAATTTGAATGTCTCTTATTGAAAAGAACCACAGGCATCATTCAAAAGCAGTAAAAAAGCTAGTGGACCTCAGAAAACAAAACATAAAAACTCATTATCACAACCCCTCCAAACTAGTGTAAGGAGTCTTCAAAGTTCTGACACTGAGTGCAGAGGAAGAATTCATGTACTTGATGCATATTATTACCAATTAGTTCTTTATGTAGTCCAACTCTAATCTGCCACATTAGTAGGTAGTTCGACAGATCATAAAATTTAAATTTTTTTAAAGTTACACCTTCACGGAGGTACTCAGAAGAGGTGTTGATTCATTTATTACAAATGGATGGAAAGGATGTGAAATAGGAAAATAGCATTAAAAAATCAATTATGAAATGGAAAGTTCGGACTGGGCTAGATAGCACAAATCAAGTAAGAACCAGCTATAATCAAGAAAAGATTATAAGAAGTTTTAAGAATTTCTGTCAGCAAAGTATGTAAGAACCAACTATAAAACTTATCCAAGAAGAGATTTTTAAAAAGCCCTAAGATTTTTGTCATCTGAGTGTAATCACTGAAGAGACGCTGTATAACTCATGTACTGCCTCTTCAGTTTTTACTCAAATTCTTATCTACTTAAAATTCTTACCTGGAATTCAGCTGTCTTAGGATTACTGATGTGAACTGCCTTTGTTGCAGAGATATCCAAACCAAGTTTATCGGCAATATCTTCTTGAGAGCACTAAGAAATACATACAAAATAGGTCAACATGGAAAAGCGATGACCAAATTTAATATAAAAAGTATTTAATGCTGTAAGTCAACCGAAGGTCTCATAGCAATGACGATTCTCTGTACAAATCAGTGAGATAAGAATAAACTAAGAATAAACACACACGATTAACCAAGACCCACAGCAGATGCAATTCGTCATCGTTATCTTACGATGAGTTCTAGCCACGATCCAAATTTTTCACATGAAGATGGTGGTACAATCTATACCCAGGGCCTTTCTAAACTCTTCCCATTTACCTTACCAGACTACAACTCCCTGCCATTCCCTGAACCCTATACTTTCCCCTGCCTTTCCTGACAGACGCTCCTGCCCTAGTTGCTGCCATCCCCCCACCGCTCTACTTAAAGGACATCTCCTCCTCTTCCGTTAAAATATCCCTCACGACTCCCTCTTTGGCATGCTCTCCCTCTTCAGTGCTCCTATGGCTTTCTGTTTTGACCACCACTGTAATTTCTGCCACATCCACACTGACTTATGGCAGAATGGTAGGACAGACAGCAGAAGTCAAGTGGCCTGAACTCTGCCCAATGTTCTTTCCCCTATATCATTTAACTCCTGTGCACACGTGCTCGGTAAAGCTCTGGGCAATGAATATGCTGCTAAGCACTCGTCCACCAAAACGAGAGAGACTCTTATCTCCCTCAAAAACCAGATGGCAGGTAGAAGTTGTGCAAATAAAACTTACTGTTAGAGATAGCAAGTCTAATAACAGATAATGCAAATAAAGTGCTTGGCATGAACTAAATGATCAGAAAAATATGATAGTTCATAAATCATTCCTAAGAATAAACAACTGTCACATATAATAACACTAATTTCTCAAAAAAGAGTTTAGACTTAACATGAAAACTGATGTGCCATCCGAGTCCTGTACAATCTTCCAACAAGAAGTGATATTGCTCACTGCACTGTTCTATGAAATGGTCAAGGACTAGCTGGCCTGTATGTCGCTCAGAAAAAAAAAAAAGGGTTTAGATTCACTTTATGCCAATGCCAGCTTTAAGGACTTCCTGCTATGCTTTCTTGGGAAGGATCCTGAAGCCACACCCTGGCACAGCGGGAAACGACGCCCGGGTGTGCCATGGCTGCAGGGGTGGAGAATGACGGCAGGCACACTGGAAACAGCCACCGTTTCCCCACTGCATAGAGGAGTTTTTATAACAAGATTTAGATATGTGATCAATCAATTAGGACAGGCAATCTATTCTTAAACAGAACTAGTACTATCTATATTTAAAAGGCTCCAGACACATGGCAAAATGGCGAGGTATATGAGTGACCTACTTTATCGTGACAATGGATGATAAGGGAAGGAGTTAAGTAGCTGTTTAAATCAACATATCCTGAAGTGGTCGTAGCTGGTATTCAGGAAGAAGTATTTTTTAAATGTCAACATATATATGTTTATTTTAGTGTTAGAAAAAAATAACAAGTAAATGAAGCCTATAATTTTTACAAATATTATTTTTATAATAAGGCTAACATAGGTATGCTGTTATAAAAGAGAGCTAATTTAAAAGAAAATATTACAACCAGTCTGTGGATATAGCAGAAATCATACTGCCGAGATGTGAATTACACTAGGGAAGTCAAGGGCTGGCTTAGGAAAGAAGAGCTGTTACTCTAGTTCTAGAGCAGACGTAAGGCTCGGAGATGTTTAGCTTTGCTTAGACAGCATGAAACTTTATAAATACTTATAATGTTGAAATTCCTATAGGAAAACTGTTATTACCCATCTGAAACTCTCCAGCACCTCCCACCTTCGCCCCTGGTGATAAACAATGTGCTGATGTGACTATGGACAGCCGAACAGACTGGCACTTTTGGTGGGACAGTTCGGGCACTGACCTTGAGTAAAGACGGACCTGGGCTGAAATCCCTGGTCCACAGCTGACTTGCCGAGTAGAGTGGGCATATTCCTCAAATTAACTGCTGCAGGAGAGAGGACACCTACTTCACAGGGCTGCACCGAGAGATGAAATCATAAAGCCCTCAGCACGGGATAAACTCTGCATAGCGGCTACTAGCCAGGAGGCAGAGTGTGAGCTCCTCTGAAATGCCTGGGGCACAGCTACAACAGCAAATTCTGTACCACTTAAAAAACAAAATACATTTCTCAGTGCTATTTTTTGTACTTCATTTTACATGACCTCACTGGTGCTCACAACTGCATACGTCCAAGAGTATGCACATGATGCCATGGTCCTACGAGCCACACAAGATGGGATAACAGAAGTCAAAAGGCCAAGATTCTGCTCATGGCTCTCCTGCTGTCTGGGGAAACGCTGTTAGGTACTTGTCATCTTTTCTTGGCCTCGGGCTCCCTCACTGGTACAGTGCCCGGCATGCAACAGAGACACCATCAGTGTTGGTGAACAAATGACTGCTGAATCAGGAAAACGAAGGAGTTGAACTAGACCTGTAAGGTCCCTTCTGGTGTTGCCAGCCTATGAATTACAATTGCTTAACACAGTAACTGCGAGAGACTCATCTCCTTACCAACCCTCTGTGTACTGGGAGCGATTCTCACTAGTGCCTTCTGTGTATCCTCTCAAGGACTGAGAATTTCGGGCTAGAACTAGGTTGAGGGGAAGAGAGAAGCAGATTTTTCGGTTGTCTTTGGTCTGGCTTTTGCCCTACGTCATTAAGTTGAAACTTACTTGAATACTCAAGAGCTACACTGTCGGCACCACGGAAACACTCCGCAAGAGAGGAAAGAGAACTATGGACCGCACGCACGTTTCACACCTTTCCAATGGTCAATCTGGTGGGGGAGGGGATTTTATTCTGATTGTGTAATAAAGTTCATTTTCTGAGTTAGGCCTTTTATGTCAGCTTTTCAACTCAAAGCAAATGGTTATGAACATATTCGAAGACAAAGACACAAGTTTATTGTGGAAATAAGTTTACGGTCCCCAAGCTCATAACCAGGGCAGCATCTAGTGGACACGGCCATGACCAAATAAAGACTAACAATTCTAACATAATAAAGTTGCTTGTGAAATTCATTGTGAACCCTCAACATTTATTACATGAAACTATAAAATATGTTGTCATCTGTCATTTAAGACACTTTTTTAGTCCTTCATGTTTTTCTGTTACTTAAAAAAATCTTCCAACATTTCTTTACTAGAAATAGTACAATCTCAAAAAAAAAAGTTATTCTTCTAGAACCTGGAAATTTTAGCAGTCTGGATTTTATAAAATAATTCATATAAGGAATCACAGGATAAATAATTCAGAGACTCCAAGTAAACAATCAGCTAAACAGAGACAGCATACCAGAGCAAAGGTGAGCGCTTCTGTGAATCCAGCAGCTGCCATGTCGTGTCTCAGAAGTTCTGTGAGCTTATTAAGGGGAAACTGGAAAAAAATTTGTCTCACTTTATTTCACCGCAATAAAATTTCCTGCTTTCAAAGAAGAGATTTATACAGAACATGTCAAAAGCAAACCACCCTACCATCCTCAGCAACATCCTGCTGGCGCCACCCTTTCTCATCTGCCCCACACCCTCCCATCACCCCACCACCCCAACACTCCTAGATGTACTACTCCCCACCTTCACCTCTCCTGCACACAGCATCTGCCTCCAGGCCCAGGTTAAGAGAATGAATCTCCCAGTTAGAAATTCGACAAGGGCTCCACACTCAAAACCTGCTTTTCTTCAAAGAACTAGTCATCACAGGTTTTCGACTCACTCTAATCAACTGGGCATCTGTTTTGTATCCTCTCCACAGCAAATGCCTCTCACGGCAGAGCATGTCCAAATAGTTCCTAATTCCTATGTTCTGGTTTTCTCAAAACCTTCCTGGCATCCAACAATCCGTTCCTAACAATAAGGTGTGTTTACTTAAGGGTGCAACCTTACTTGATTAGCTATGGTGTATGTTTTTGGGAGAGTCATCTGAATGTTGTTATATCCGTAAGCAATAGCTGCATCTTCCACAATATCACATGCATGGATAATGTCAGCTCTGGTTGGAGGGATTTCGATCTCAATCTGATTCCCATCGCCAATGACTTCTGACTTCAAGTACATCCTGGTCAGAAGCTTAGCAAGATTTTCTGGAGTTTCTCTGAAATAGGAATGCACAAACCATAAACTTCATTGCATTATTTAAAACATGTTTATATTTCGTTTTAAAATATGCAACTACCTGAAATCATAACCTTTCTTTTTGAATTCCCTTAGACACCATACATCCTGATACTCCGTCGTCACTTAACTTACTCTGAGGGGATATCAAAACCCTCTCCATGCATTCTTTCAGGAAAAATTAAATAGTCTTGTGTGCACTTCATCCTTGAATTATCTCCAACTGTAAATAAATAAATCAAGTTTCCAGAGCATACCTGATTCCAACTTTTTTGTTAATTAGATCGGCTCTCACCATCTCCTTTCGGTAAGCCAGTTCCTTAAGAGAAAGAGTTTGAGAAGCTTAAATCATTCCCATCAGATACAGCGTTAGACTCTTTCTATTTGAACTCATCATCAGTTTCATTACCCTTACACTGAAAATAAACTTGGTGTTTCAAAACATTATTATAGAGGAATATATTTGCTACATTATATTCATCTATGAACATTCTACCTGCTAAACAATTGAACTGCCCAGAAATAATATAAAATGCCAAACGTTCTTCTCTTTTAGATGATCAGTCACCATTCTCTTCAATAAAACATGTA